ACTTTTAAGGGAGAATTCAGGCTGTCTTGAGATTGAGAAGCAGCCCTGACTTGGGCTGGCTGAGGGGGTTCCAATATTTGTAGAAGGGCTGTATCAGGGGCAGGATTGGAGGTGGGCCCAGGGTGGAGCTACACAATTTCGCTGTGCTTACATATTTCCCTTATTTTACAAGGGCATCATGGGCCAAGGGCATATTGCTCAAGACTTACAACTATGCTTGTGGGTTTTTTCTTTATTCTAAATTCCTGTCTCACTAATATGAGCAACTCGGTATCACTTTTCTCCTTTCTTATTTTTGTCTTTTTAAGTTCTTAAAAAATATTCTTAGGGGGCTGGGGTATTGGCTCAGAGGTAGAGCACTTATCTAGCGCGTGCAAGGCACTGAGTTCCATCCTCAGCACCCCATAAAAATAAATAAAATAAAGGTATTGTGTCCAACTACAACTAAAAAAAAATAATAAAAAAATGCTCTCAGATTACCAATGGTTCCCACAAACAGGGTTTAACTCCTTCCTATGTTGAAAAGGTTGTTTACTGCTAAACTGAGGAGTTTATTCTGATCTGATTTGTCTGTTAGTTAACATAACTGTGGAATGCTACTTCACCCATGGTACCAGATGGGTATGGGAGAGACTTGTGATTCTTTTTTGGAGAAGGGAAGAAGAGATAAAGGGTGCCAGAGCATGGCTAGATTATGTGTGCATAATAGATATCCAGGTAATGTTTAATTTTAATTTGTCCAGTAACCTTATTGGAGAAATTAGAAGATTGGTCCAAGTATTTCATGTTTCTAATTATCTCCAGTACTACTTTGACTACCATTTTTGTTTAGAAACTGTCCTTTGCTTGGAATCCTAGCAATTTGGGCAGCTGAGGTAGAAGGATCACAAGTTTGAGGCCAGCCTGGGCAATTTAATGAGACCTGTCTCATGATAAAATAAAAAGGGCTAGTGTCTCAAGGGGGCAAAATTGCAACATATGCAGTTGAGGGGAGAAATAAAGAATGTCCACGAGCTTCTGACCTTTTCAATGCTTTATTCACTCAAATTACTCAATATAATTTCATTCTATAGGTTCTTAATCAAGAAAATGACAATCCTTAATGCTAGGCACTGCAAAAGAGATAATCAATTCATAACAAACAATTCTAGATTAATTAATTCACAGCAAACAATTCTAGATTAATTCTAAGCAAAGCAAAACACACTTAATCATGACAGGCTAATGAAAGACATTCTGTCTGCATGCTAAGTTCAAATGTCAGATCAAAAGTCTTAAGCCTTAGGTTTTGTGTCCAGCAGATGCACACTCACTCAGACCGTGGTGACCAGGTCTGGAACCAAGGCAGGCATTTTCCTGGTGTGAAGTGGACGACCAGTTGAGGAGAGGGTTGTAGGGAGAAGTTCCAGCTCTCACCAAGGTCCAGAAAGGCGGTAGAGTTTGAGAGTGGTGAGGATCAGGCAGATCAGAAAACGATATGACAAGTGATGGGATGTCAGATCCTCATCAGGCTCTCCAGCTGGAGTGCATCCTTGTTTCGGCTGGCTGAATCCCTGTTCATTTGCTCTATTATTTATACTAAATTCTGGGCCTTTTGACCCCCATTCCAATCCTTATCAGCTACCACTGGATTTCTCAGTGACATCATTTGCCTTAGGGTCAGAAACATCTGGTCTGGTGGTCTCTGATCTTCTAGCCTTTTTCTCTTATCATTCAAGGACAGCCTGCCAGGGGCTTCACCCTGTTTATCAGGGTGAGGGGAAGTAACTTGTTTGAGGCCATACTGCAGTGTTCTGTGGGTGTGCTTAGTGAGACTGTAGGTTTCTAACTGGAATTTTTAAAATGGAGTTGCTTAGGCTCAGGCCTAAGGCTATCCTCACAGCTGGGGCTATAGCTCTGAGATAGAACACTTGCCTAGCCATGTATGAGGTTCTGGCTTCAGTCCTCAGTATCATAGAACAAACAAAAAACCTGTCCTTCCCCTTTATTGTGATCTACCAAATTCATTCATTAGCTCACTGACTTTCCTATAATCTCAAGATCTGCTCTCATCTAGGATGACATCAATTTCTACATAACCTATCCAACTCCCTCTTATTCCTCTATCTCTTTATTTCTTGGGACACTTTAGTGACTCACTTCCAAGGCCATACCCCTAGTCCTTATTATCACCAAGAATTGCTCTACCTCTGAAATCTTAAATTCAAACCATGCTCTTATTGTTGTAATACATTTGTGGAATGTAACAAATGTCCAGTAATAACTGGTTTAATATGACAGTAATTTTCAAGGTGAGGATTGAGGAAGAAAGAAAGAAACTTCCAAGGACATTCATCTGAATCTCAGAGATTTGCTTGATTTGAAAACTTACAAGGCGATTTTTTTTTTTTAAATATTTATTTTCTAGTTCTCGGCGGACACAACATCTCCGTCGGTATGTGGCGCTGAGGATGGAACCCCGGCCGCACGCATGCCAGGCGAGCGTGCTACCGCTTGAGCCACATCCCCAGCCCATTACAAGGCGATTTTTTAAAATATAGTTTGTAGTTGTTGATGGACCTTTATTTATTTATTTTTTTGAGAGAGAGAGAGAGAGAGATATTTTTAATATTTATTTTTTAGTTTTCGGTGGATACAACATCTTTGTTTGTATGTGGTGCTGAGGATCCAACCCGGGCCGCACGCATGCCAGGTGATTGCGCTACCGCTTGAGCCACATCATCAGCCCCTGGACCTTTATTTTATTCATTTATTTATATGAGGTGCTGAGAATCCAATCCAGTGCCTCACAATTGCTAGGCAAGTGCTATACCACTGAGCAACAACCCAATCCCTACAAAGGCGATTTTCATGGGCCTCCTGTACGTAGTATTTCTTCTGCCCTCTCTACCTGTTGTAAGTCACTGAAAGAATGGGTGTCAAAAATGAAAAAAAATTTTTTTTGACTAGTTTTTTTCCTTTTTATGTTTTTAGAAAACATGGTCCTTTTTCATTAAAAAAAAGCTATATATGCTAACATATAAAGGGTTTTGTTTTTTTTTTCCAATGGATTAATAAAGATTTAAAACTTTTTTCAGTTTTAATTTCTAATATGATAAATATTGATAGAACACACATAAGCAAAAACTCTTTGATGTCTTCAGTAATTGTTAAAAGTTTAGCTGGGCATGGTGGCACATCCTGTAATCTTAGCAACTCAGAAGGTTGAGGCAGGAGGATTGCAAGTTTGAGGCAAGAGCCTACAATAAAAATGAAAAGGGCTGGGGATGAAACTCAGAGGTAGAGCATCTGTGAATCCAATCCTCAGTACTACTAAAACAAAACAAAACAAAACAAAACAAAAGACAAACAACCCTCCCCCCCCAAAGTTTAAAGGAGTCCTTGGGTCAAAATGTTGAAGCACTGCTGCTCTAGCTTATAGCTTATTTCAACTTACCCTTTGAATTTCAACTTATATGCCATTTTTTGTCTTAGATTTTCCTGAACATCCTGCATGGATGTGTGTATTCTACAGGTTTTCTTAATATACTTTATACGTCATTAACAGCTCTAGGGGCCATTGTGTGTGTGTGTGTGTGTATAGTTTTTATATATATTGTTAATTTTTTTAATATTTATTTTTTATTTTTGATTGGACACAATATCTTTATTTCATATTTAGGTGGTGCTGAGGATTGAACCCAGTGCCTCATGCATGCTAGGAGAGCACTCTACCACTGAGCCACAACCCCAGCCCTTGTTCATCTCTTTAAAGTGTTGATTTTTAAAATATAATCATAGAGTTGTGCAATTATCACAATTTTAGAATATTTTCAGTACTCCTAAAAGAGACCTTGTACCCATCAGCAGTCATCCCTATTTCCTTCCTAATCTCCCAGCCCCTAGTAATATGTTGATGCAGTCACTCAGTCCTCTAATTTTTTTTTTTTTTTAGTACTGGGGATTGAATTCAGGGACTCACTCTGCTGGGCAAGTACTTACCACTGAGCTACATCTCCTGCCCCTAATTTACCTTTTGTCTATAGATTTACCTATTCTGCATATTATATGAATGAAATCCTACATCATAACTAACTACCTTCTTTTAATTAGCATAATGACTTCAAGGTTCATCACATGGTAGCAAGTATGGGTACTTTATTTCTTTTTATAGTCCAATGTTCCCTTGTATGACTATATCAGTTTGTTTAACCATTTATCAGTTGCTGGACAGTTGGATTGTGTCCACTTTTTAGCTAGTATGAACAATGTTGCTATGAACATTTGTGTATGTTTTTTTTTTATGGATATATATTTTCAATTCTCCTCGGTACATACCTAGGAGAATTGCTAAGTTTTAAAAGGAAAAAACAAAAAACAAAACCTAACAAACAAGAAAGAAATGAACAAGCAAAAAAAAAAAAAAAGAGAGAGAGATTTGCTGTTATATGGTTACTTTACATTTTACAGTTTGAGGAACTGTTAGCCTGTTTCCCAGCGCATTTTATATTCCCATTATTAGTAAATGAGTATTGCAATTTCTCATATCCTTGTCAATACTTGTTAATTATTTTTGATAATGGTTATCCTAGTGGGTATAAAGTGGTATCTCTTTGTCATTTTAATTTGAATTTCTCTGGGAACTAATGATATTGAGTGTTTTTTCATGTCCATTTGTATATCCTCACTGGATATTCCAGTTTGCTATCTGTTTTTACATTGGATTGTCTTATTGTTTGAGTAATAATAGTTCTGTATTATTATAAATATAAATTTACCCTTATCAAATGTTTTATTTGAAGGTATTTTCTCCCATTCTTTAGTTTGTATTTTGAACGACAAAGACAAAAGTTATAATTTTCATCAAGTCCAATTTTTCAGTTTTTCTTTGGTTTCTTGTTATTTTGGTATTCTAAAACGCCATCATCCAACCTAAGTCATGAAGATTTGTGTCTGTTTTTTCCTAAGAACTTTTTGGTTTTAATTCTTGCGTATACATTCTTCTTCTTCTTTTTTTTAGAATCAGGGGTAATCAGGGTGTTGCAGGTCATAATTAAGCAGAGATGCTAATCACTTACCATTCGAACTTCAATCATCATGTTCTGTCTGCCCTCTAAAGGAGGAACAGGTAAGGATTATCCCACCCGACAATTACATATATACTTTTGATACATTTTAAGTTAACTTTGTGTATCCAATTTCATTCTTTGCATGTGCATCTCCAGTTGTCCCAGTACTAATTATTGAAGACTGTTCTTTCGCTTTTGAATTGTTTTGGTATTCAAATTGATGTAAATGTGAGGGTTCATTGATTCCCCCCACTCATTTTCTATCCCATTTCATTTATTTATATCCTTATCATCCATGCTTTTGCCAGTTGGGCCATTGTATTCTGAAGAAATCTTAAAAGGTTCATTCTTTAACTCAAAGCACCAATTCAAGGGTTGGAATTAGCTCCTCCCCCCTGGAGTTTAGAACTTTCAGCAGCATCTTTCATCAGTAGCCATCAAGATTGTGTTCAAGCAGTCGTTTTTAGTTGTTTCAATCAAGGTCATTTAGCAGGGGTGCGGAAGTTGTGGGAACGAGAGGATAACCAAAAATAGTAGCTCTAGAAATAAGGACTGGCATTCAATTCCACACTTTTAGGGAGGGTCGACGAGCAACACTGGGAGGAGACAAAAGAAGTATCTTGGTTCAGAATTCAGGAATGCGCAAGGTGTTGGAGGGGGAGGAGTCTGGGTTGTCAGTATGGCTCCAAACATTGAGACCGGGAGCCGGGACCTTTTCTCCACGGAGATGGGCTCGGGTCTAAAGCTTAAGGCGTGGTCCTCCGAGGCGGTGATAGACTCCAGTTCACTTGTGCGACAACAGCAAAGCTGCTTCTGGGGATCTCCCGCCTTCGGACTGCTCCCCCACTCGTTTTCCCGCCTCCCTTTTCCTCTGTTCCCCATTCCTCCTCCCTGCGCGTAGCGGAAGTGACGTGAGGCGTAGCGGAAGTCCCTGCAACCGCGGTGTTGTGCTGTGGGGAAGGGAGACGGATTTGTAAACCCCGGAGCCAGGTTCTACTTACCCGAGGCCGCTGCTGTGCGGAGATCCCCGGGTGAAGCCACCGTCACCATGTCTGATCAGGTACTGGGCTGGAAGCCATCCGGCGGTGGCGGCCGGGGCCTTACCCTGCAGGTCCGCCTGCCGCTCGGCTGGGGCTGGGGATGGAGGCGCGGGGGAGGGGAGCGCGGACTTGGGGAGGGTCGGCCAGTGGGGATTGAGTGGGCGAGGGAGGGGAGCGGGCTCTGGCCGGAGACGCCCCGGCCTGTCTCGGTGCTCCGGGAGCCGCCCCGCCCCTCTTCTGTCTCGCTCTTCACCCCCTGTGCTCCAGTACTTCTGGTCGCGGCCTCCCTCAAGTCGTCCCCCTTCTTTCTCCCGGGTCGACCAGGTGCAGAACCCTGCTTCTACCTCCCTGAGAGGATCCCTGGGGAACCTGTCCATCTCGCTTCAGAGGACTGATTGCAGAAACGGGGCCTTAGGCCCCAGTTATGTAACGGGCGAGAAATCCCTGACTGGGAGGCTCTGTGGCCCTGAAAAGCGGCTGGACTCTACTTTCAGATTCTTGGTCCCGGAGGGCGCGGGGCGGCGAGGGAGACGTTGTCTAATATTGCGGGGAACCTGGAAAGGGCTGCTTTGCCTTCGGGTTGCTTCTAGGGCCCAGCCGAGGCGCTCGCCTCGGAGTCCTTTTTCCGTGTGGGGGTGCAGAGCTGTCGCCTCTTTTCTGTACTTTCCAATTTCTTACTCGGGATTGGTTCATCGACTCTCCACTTGTAAGAGAGCACTAAGAATAACCAAGAAACAAAACAGTAGAACAGAATTGTTGGAGCAACCAAAAGCTTTTTATCTGAGCATTAACCTGCAGAATATTGATACTTTTGAGGAAAACGATAGGAAAACTTTGTACTTGTAGAGTAGTTCCAGAACATTTGCAAAACCCTGCCTGTTAATGGCAGAGTGCTTCAGCTCAACGTTGTTCTCAAGACTTTGCTTGGGATTTGCATTCAGTCAGCAGTGATTGATTTTGCCTAAAGTTGTTTTTCCTCAACCTGTTCTAGTTAACTATGTTTATGGTTAGTTTTTAATTCAGAGTTTTGATCTGGTCCTCGTAATGTTTTGCTCAGAAGACTTTGAGTTTTAAAAGTATTTTTGACCTTTTACTTGTTTTGTGATAATTATTCAGAAAACTTATATGTAACGCCAAAATGTACTTGAACTTTAAAATAATTTACACACTTATTCCTTTGGTTTTTAACCCAGTTTTGTACCACATGGTGAAATCAAGTGAGGTTTTTGTTGATTTGTACTATTGCAAAAAATGTACACTTCTGTATTTAAAGCTTAACCATAATCTAGATTAGTTTTGGGTGGATTTACTTAGTGATAATCTAGGTTAATTCCCAAGTTAGTATGGAAATGGTATTATAAGTACCTCTCTAGACAGTTGTTTACTTGGTAACCAGGGAAGGAAGAACAGCTATAAATGCTCAGTTTCATTTTGATGCTCAGAAGTAGCTAGAAGGCATGTTGAAATTTATGATAGCCTGATAAAGAATAATATGCAGAAAAAAATAAATTGTAGAATTATTTTTGCTCCAGTTTGAAGTCAGATAATTTAAAAAGGCTGTGAAGAAAGAAATAGAGGACATAGGATGCAGAGAGATTGTTTTCATAGGATCTGTGAGGCCAAAACTATTTTCATATTAATATTAAGACAGTGTGTGTTTGTTTATTCTTATTCTTCCATGGGTGTTATGAAGCTTTCTAGAAACTAACTTGACTTGTGATATCACAACAGATTGAAATATGGAAGCACGTAGAATATCCAGCCAGACGTTACAGAGATTTGCAAAAATGTGAAGGTGCTACTTTTCTCACTAATTTTGTTTTGGAAAATATTATTAATAAAATGTTATTTGTTAAATAATGGGTTTATTCTTATTTTATAATGAATTAATAAATATTTTAAATATTTCTCAGTTTCATTGTTTAATATCATAAATGTCAATAAATATAATCTTTTTTTTAAAAACAATAGTTTTGTGGGTTTCAGAGACCAAAATGTTTGAGGAGTCTTGCTCCAGGCTGATTGACTAGCATCATTAATAATTAGGGCCCAGTACATATTCAGTGTTGGGTGCTAAAGATTTAACAAGATATGAAAATGAATCCATACCTTCAAGAATCTTTTGAGAGCAAAAATGTCCATATTACTACTGTGTAATGTGAAGAGTAAGATAACTGAACCACTGTTCCCAGAAGACAACCTTAGAATGATGTGGTAGACTCTTGCCTAGCACCACCAAAAATTTTTTTATTTTCTGAGGCAACCCAGAATTTTATTGTTTGGTGCTAAGATAATGAAATAGAATAATAATTTCAGGTTAAAATAAGTGGACATTAGATCCACATAAAACTTAAATTGCTGGGTTCTCCATTGATAAATTAATTTTTTTTTAATTTGAGTAAAAATATTTTTATAGTTTTAACAATCCTATTATCTTCTGGTGGATTTGTGGACCATTATTGTCTGAAACAGGTTCTAAACCTAAGGGCCATGGACTCTGAGGGCTAAAAATCCACTGAGCTGTGTGGAGTGTTTTGTGCACTTTTTTTTTTTAAAGGGAGAAAGAGCCCATAGCTCTCATCATGGGTACATAATCTCCTAAAGAGGGTAAGGCACTGTCATGTAACCAGTGACAGCAGTCTGACTGGTATTCTCCTTTTGCCTAATTTCACTTTACAACAAAACCAAGCACTCATATAGAAGCTTAATATCAAACTATCATTTAATCTGTACAAAACTTCCCTTCTTTCTTATTTTCTAGTTTCTTTCTTTTTTTCTTTTCTTTTTTTTAATGATAATCACCATCAAAGGCATCTTGGGCTGGGCATGGTGGCACATGCCTGTGTCCCAGCTGCAAGGCTTTATGCACCTCAGCAAGACATTGTCGCTAAACAAAATATAAAATATAAAAAAAAAGGACTGGGGATGTGGCTCAGTGGTTAAGTGCCCCTGGGTTCAATCCCTAGTACCAAAAAGAGCAAAAAAAAAAAAAAGAATAAGAAAAGAAAAAAGCATCATTATCTTGGACCTAAGCTCCTCAATTCAGGTCTGTTATTTGACAGTGCTTCTCTGTAACTGAATTACCCTACCCCCACCCCAGAAAGAGATATTGATTAAATGATTGATCTCTAGACGAGTATTTGGAATCTTTATATAATTCTAGTTATCTGTTGCTTCCGAACAAACTACCTCAAAATTTAGTGACTTAAAACAATCTTTTATTTTGATCATTTTAGCTCTGTGGGTTAGATTCATCTCTGCTCCTTGGTGTGTGGGGCCTCAGCTGGGAGGTATATAAGGCCTAAGATGCCTTCAGGGAGGTAGAGTAGGGTGGAATTCTGCTCTTCACAGAGTGTCATAGCCTCTCTGAGTGGAGCTAGACCCCTGGGTATTCAGATTTATGGCAGGTCAAGTGCTTATAAAGAGTGTGTTTCAAGATAACCTGAGTGGAAATAGTAAGGCTTCTGGGACCAGCTTTGGAAGTTACTTCAGTATTCTCTTGCTCAATCAAATCCTTGAGACCAGCCCAGATTCTAGAGAATGACATTTGGACTCAATTTTTCAGTAACAGAATTTGTACTTATCTTTAACACATAAATTGTGTTTTTTTCTGTCTTGATAGCATTAGCGATGTTCTTTATAGATCCCTGCTAATGTTTACTGATCTTAGCAACTGTAGATGGGGGCTGCAGGAGAATATGATGAGCTGGTTGTGTATTAAAATTCATAATTATGTGTATTATATATCATAAAACAGTTAAGCTCTAGCTATTACTCGAGCATGTTATTAGCAGTGGGTACCTTAACCATTTCATGCCCTTGATAGACATGGTGTGCTGCTGGTGGATAATGCAAACATAGATGATTATAATGAAACACTTTGAATAAAATGTTACTTAAATAATAACTAATAGTATTTTGAAAACTGAATATGATTGTTATGGTTAGAGTACTCATTAAGGTTAGTTGAGTAGTTCAACTTCAAATTTATAAAGCATTTGTCAGGGCTGGGGATGTGGCTAAAGTGGTAGCGCGCTCGCCTGGCATGCGTGTGGCCAGGGTTCAATCCTCAGCACCACATACAAAGATGTTGTGTCCGCCGAAAACTAAAAAATAAATATATAAAAAAAAGCATTTGTCAGATACATTGTGAAAGCCATTAGCCCTATAGCAAAATATTAATATTATAACTCTTCTATGTAGTACTACAATTATTTACATTTTAAATATCTTTTTCCATTAATCTATTTACTTTTGAAAGTTGGAAATCAGGCTTTATTCATCCCCCTCCCCCAATAATGCCAGTATAGTGAATGGGTTCATTTTTTTGAAAGAATAAGTGGTCAGGTACATTCATTAATAAATATTAAATGTTGTTATGTTGTAAGCACTATTTTAGACACTAGATTTGGAAGGTTGCCTCAAACACATGAAGTAGCCAGTATCCTCTCTCTGTTTCTGATTCCTTGGTATTGTTTTGTTATTGAGGAAGCATTGGTTGTCTCAGAATAGGTGTTTTTTTTTTTTTTTTTGGTGGTGGTGGTGCTGGGGATTGAACCCAGGGCCTTGTGTATGCTAGGCAAACACTCTACCAGATGAGCTATATCCCCATCAAAAACATAAACATAGTTTTTTTTTTAATATGATGTTTTTGCATACTTTATCTATCTTCTCTTAACAATAGACCTGGTAACTTTATATCCAAAATTGAATGATTTACTTCTTCCAGGACATTGGGATTGTTATGGATGGTTTTGTCTTGACATCCTCAGCATTCCATTTTGGAATTTCCTGAAATTGTGGGGTTTTTTTTGGATAATTCTGTTACTGTTCTAGTTCTTAAAGTCTTGTAGGAAAGTTCACATGGATTCTATTGTTGAGCAACAGTTTTGCAACTAAAAATTTGTGTATTCTCTAAATATAACTATTTAAAGGTGTGTGTATATATAAAATATATACATATTGTATGTGTATGTATTTGACTTATTTTTTTGCATTCAGTTGCCTTGTCTGTGCTAATGAGAATCTTGAAGGAAGGAAGGGTGGAGTTCTGTGCTCTGTTCTCAGTATCTAAGGCCAGTTATTTTTAATGGTTTTACTAAAGATTACTAACAGTCAAGTGCACATTCATGTAAGTTTTGCTAGTTTTTTTCATAAATAACACATCTGTGCAATTCGTACCCAGATCAGGAGCCTCCGTCCTAACTTTAAAACATATAGATTAATTTTGTCTGTTTTTGTACTTATAATATTTTATAAATATATACATACAGGATGTACTTCTGGGTCTAGCTTCTTTTGTTCAATATTGTTTATAGAGATTTGTCCATTAACATTTTGTGTAGTTGAGTGTTATTAGATCTTGTTGCTGTATTGCATTGCGTTATGTGACTACCACTTATTTATCCATTCTGCTTTTGAAGCACATTGAAGTAGTTTTCTAGGATCTGGCGTTTTTTTTTTTTTTTTTTTTTTACCAGGGATTGAACCCAGGGGCACTTAACCACTGAGCCACATCTTCATTTTTTTTTAAAAAATATTTAATTTAGAGACAGGGTTTTGCTAAGTTGCTTAGGGCTTTGCTAAAGTTGCTGAGGCTGGCTTTGAATTTGTGATCCTCCTATCTCTGCCTCTCCAGCTGCTGGGATTATAGGCATGCGCTCCTGTGCCTGGTTTAGGATTTGTTTTAAACTTGGGTCAAGTGAAACATGTTTATAATACCTTCTGTGTCAGTTAAGATTGCTTTTGGACTGAATAACAGAAAGTCTGATACATACTGGGTTGAACGTATGCTGTTAATTTTTCTTAGCAAACAAGAAGTCTAGACATAATTAGCTCAAGGGTTAATGAGGTTCCACAATCCTTTCCTGCTCATTTCTCCTCCATGCTTAATTTATGATTCACTTTCATGCTTTTTGCCTTGTGGGTCAAACAAACAAACAAACAAAAAAATTACTTTGTGTTTTAGGCAGGAGAAAAAGAAGGAAGAACAAAGTAAAAGAAAAATATGTTGTATCTCTGGCCAGCACTATGTTGCAGAGCCATAAAAAAAGCTGGGAATAAGAGCCAACCCTGATGGTACACGTCTATTATCCCCACTACTCCAAGTTGAGACAGCAGGATTACAAGTGTGAGCCTAGCCTGGACAACTTAGTGAGACCTGTCTCAAAGTAGAAAATGAAAAGGACTAGTAAGTAGTCTCTGGGTTTTGATCCACAGCAACTCAAAAGAAAAAAGGAAAGGGCTAGGGCTTGTAGCTCATTGGTAGAGCACCCACCTTACACGTGTGAGACACTGGGTTCGGTCCTCAGCACCACATAAAAATAAATAAAGATACTGTGTCCAACTACAACTGAAAAAATATTTTTTAAAAAGCTAGGAAATATATATGTATATTCTTAAGATATTTCTTTTTTTAGTTGTAGTTGGACACGATACCTTTATTTTCTTTATTTTTATGTGGTGCTGCGGATCAAACTCAGGGCCTTCCACATGCTAGGTGATTGTTCTATCGCTGAGCCACAACCCCAGCACAGAAAATTTCTTTTTTTTTTTTAAAAAAAGCTGGGCAAATTTAGGTTTCTCCTGGTAAGTAGGAATGGGAAAGAAGATGTTTTCTAATTTTGGATATAAACAACCTAGTTTGTTCCAGGTTTTGCATAGGTCCGTAGTCTACAAAACCAGCAAAATTTTCAGTTATAATTTTTAGTTACTGATAAATTGTGCCTATTTAGTTTTTATCACAATTCAAGGTTGAGTGTAAATATTCAGAAGGCCCAGTGTCTTGATGACTTTGACTTAAATCTTGAAGTTTTGGAATTAAATCTGGTCAGTTCTATTCCAGATCTCCAGTACTATTTTATGTTTGAAGATGAAAGTATATGTGTATTTTTGTGTTTTTGGAATTCTGGTAAATTTGTTGAATTATGAGGAAAGTGGCTTCTTGTAATTCTGAGTTTTTACCTTTTAATAATTGATCTAAGTATTAGGATTATATAGTTTAACCCTTGTCAAGCTTTCTTTATTAGGAAATAAAGTGAAATAAATTGATGCATACAGGTTGTTTTTTTTTTTTTTGAAACTTTGAATGCCCTTTTTTTTTTTTTTTTTTTTTTTTTGGTGGTGGTACTGGGGTACTGTGTATGAAACCCAGGAGGGGGTACATCCCTAGCCCTTTTATTTTTTGAGACCAGAGTGATCCTCCTGCCTGAGTATCTTGAGTTGCTGGAATTACAGGCATATGCCATCGCACCCACTTTTGAGTGCATTTAAATTTTTTTTTTTTTTTTTAGTTGTAGATGGACACAACACCTTTATTTTGTTTGTTTACTTTTATGTGGTGCTGAGGATCGAACCCAGTGCCTCACACATGCTAAGCAAGTGCTCTGCCACTGAGCTATAGCCCCAGCCCCTTGAATGCATTTTTAATGAAAAATTTTATAAAATTGTTAGTGTATATGTAGTGAAATCTATGTACCCTTCCTGTGGCCCATTTTATTTAATCTGTGGGACCCCACTCCTTCATGTTATTTGGAAGCCAGTCCCAGACATTGTATCATTTTGTTTGTAAATATTCAGTATGTATCTCTGAAGGAGGACTTTTTCTTTTAACATAACCATAATACTATTGTTATATCTTTAAAAATTAACATGCTAATATCATCAAACAAGAGAAAATTAATTTTTAATTTGTTTTGGGGTTTCTGCAGAATTTCTCCTCTTTCAATAACAATGAACAGTCTTTGACTGTTAAGTTTGATGATATGTCCATGTGACTGAATTGCCAAGGAACTGGTTGCCAGAGTGCATCTTTGCACAGATCTTGTTTTGACTTTGAAATGGCATAATACATTCCTTTTTATGATTTTTGTACTTTTGTAAATTAGAACTGTTATTTTTCATATCTATTCCAGTCTAGCCTTCTTTCCAGATCCAGACATCTATTTGCAAGCTGTTTGATCTGTAACTCCAGTTATCAAGGGTCAATCTCTGAAAGACCCAGACCTGAAAGATTACAGGTTTTAGCACATACACTTATTTTTTGTTCCATCCCTAGTTTCTTCTGCTCTGGGGCTGTGTGTACCATTTTCAGCTGAATCAACCAGCCCTCTCTGGAATTCTCTTTTCTTTGATGATCAAGTGTCCCAGACCCAGAGCTGAATACTTTCACTGTTTTGTAACCATTGTGCCATACTATTTATTCTGTATTGACTGTCTATCTATCTAGCTTTCTTTTCTTTTCTTTTTTCTTTCTTTCAAAGAAAGCATACAAAAGACACTGACTGAAATCACTGAAGACAAACTTTAGCTTTTTTTGTTCAAGATCTTCTTATTTTCCAGGCTCATTTGTTAAAGGAAAAGATAAAATGGGCTAGGGTTATGTATGGATCAGTGGCAGAGTGCTCGCTTAGCATATGTGAGGCACTGGCACTGGTTTTGATCCTCAGCACCACACAAAAATAAATAAATAAACAAACAAATAATTAAATAAAAGACAAATAGCACACAAAAAAGCTGATGACTATTAAACAAGCATGGCTACTGTAAAACAAATGGTATAGATAATATCTGTTACTATAGTGATTCAACATTGGGAAGACCACCAAAATGGAGTGCCTAGGGAAGATGGCAGTTTATTTTTGGAAATTTGAAATCCTAATGTTGACACTTTCTTAGGAAATTGAAGTGAAGTCATTGTCTGTCTCCGTGTGTGTCTGTCTGCCCCCCCACCCCCATTCTCTCATTCTGGGGATCAAACACAGGGCCTTGCCTTGTGTATGGTAGTCCCATTCTTTACCTCAGAGCCACATCCTCAGCCCTTTATTTATTTGTTTATTTTGGTACTGGGGATTGAACCTAGGGGTACTCTCCCACTGAGCCATATCCCCAGTCCTTTTTCCCAAGTTCTTTAAATTTTTAAAATTTTGATTTTATGATATTGGGAGTTTAGTTCAGGGGCACGCCACCACTGAGTTACACCCCCAGCTCCTCTTTATTGTATCTTGAGATATGGTCTCTTTAAGATGCTGAGACTGGCTTCAAACTTGTGATTCTCCTGTCTCAGCCTCCTGATTTGCTGGGGTTATAGGTGTGTGCCACTTCGCCT